ATTAAATTATTTTTGCCTTTACATTTTAAGATTTATAGGTTTGAAGTTATAAAGTTTCTAATGTTCATTAATTATAAATTTGTGCCAGTGTTTCCAGCACTGAGTATGCAGAACTAATATAAAACTTATGCAAAAGTCATAACCACATTGCTTATTAAAGATCTTTATAACAAATAAGTGCTTAAGTGCCTACCAAAGTATGTATGCCAATGTAGGGTAACTGTCTGTCTGATTCTAATATTATACCAGAAACTCTTTAAAATTCCAAGCCATCATCTAGCTTTGAAGTATAAACTTTCTTGTGAACTAAAACAAGTGTCAACACTCGACTGGCTGACCGAGTCCATATGTTGTTTACATATCCTTACAAGCCAGGAGAGTACCAAAGTGCATATACAACTAACAACTGTTAACCCATATACATACATATATGTAAGTTTGTGTATATACATATATTTATACAAAATATTGTATTTATCCTTTAAATGCAGCCTTAATCGTCTACTAGTCCCAGTTTAGAATGAGTGGGATTCACTACTTTACTAATAAAAAGCACAACTACTAAGCAAGCGAGCACCAAACGAGCGTGTACATAGAATGACATGACAAGCAGATGTGTATAAGAGACAGAGCACCAAACGAGCGTGTACATAGAATGACATGACAAGCATACAAAAGAGGTCATTGATGCTGTGCTGACAATTTGAGATGACAATCAATGCAATGGGGTTAGTGAAGTCTAGGTGGAGCAGTGTGCTTGTGTTGAAGTATTGTGTCGYATGGCGCCACTGACCAGCAGCTAAGGGGGCATCATTGGCCAGTAGTGCAAAAGTTGAAGCTACAACTGCTGTTGTYGATGGACGAAAAGCAAAGGATGTTTGAGATATTAAAAATGTATGAACATTTGTATGGTTTATTGCTTTATTTGCCAGGATATGAAGCAAATGATTRTATATAGTTCGTAGGCAGCGCTCCTTTAGTTGTTCAACAATTGCTTTGAGATTTTTTTTTAACTTTTTTATAGGGTGTTTATGGGTTTGTATGCAACTTACGCATTTATCCGCAATGTTCGCGTATGTATAACAAATAGTTGCTCTAGGCGTCACTATGCTAAAGTTCCTGTGCCTTTTACATATGTACGAATCGTTGCACTCAAAATGTTTGTTTATTGTATATCATGTCCTATTTCATTTAAATTGTCTAGAATTGCAAACTTGGCTTCTACTTCGGATTTCCTTTTACTAAATATTTTATCTCAACTCTTAATGAATATATAAAATGTCACAAGTACTAAAAATTATTTAAAGCTTTTAGGAATCAAAGCATTATGACATTATGTTTTTTATCGCGGTAAAATTCTTCATTTATTGCCGTAGAGAGTCTCTACCCGAGTAAAGAGTATCAAATGGCCAGTCTCATTCTGCTAAACTAGATCGAATATGCTCAATTATACATTTAATACCTTCGTGTATCTGTGCCAAACTATTTTTTTTTTTTACAATATAATTTATTTCTTTGTTCTCTGCTTTAAGAGTTCTTATGAATTTTAAATTAAATAGAGTATTGTGGTGGCTAAAACAACAGTGCTGTTCGGTTTACCTAACCAACGTTAAATCACCTGGGAATATACCCCAAGATCGTCTGCTAAACAGTGACACTAATTTAAGGAGCAGTAAGGAGGAAGGTTGCGTCTAGCTATTATCTTGAATTTCAGGAGTGATTTAATGGCGCAAAAACATGAAAAGTGTATTTACTACTTAACTTTCAGAAAAGGGAGAAAATTGCAGGATGTGTAAGCAAGGTAATCCCTAGCAACTGGAAGATACAGTGTCAAAATGAGGGAGATAATATAAATTAATGCGAGAGGCTCATCAATAGCTAGACAGTTGAACGGCAATGATGTTATTTGATAAAAGTGGGTGTTTTGTGGTTTCATTACGAATTGCCGCATTCTTCTTTTTTTTATTACTCCAGAATTTATCTCTGAAAACCGYAGAGTTCAATTATTTTAATCATCTAGTAACTTTCGTGAACCTTCTTGTTTAGCCAAAGGCTTAATAAAGGTCCATGTAAAACATAAACAAGTATATGTAAATATGGGGAGTAGCATATAGTTTTAAAGTTTGCTGACAATTACACGGCACCTATGCCCATGTACTGCATGACGCCTCTAGGCTAGCGGCAAACAGTTGAGAAAATGAAACGCGTAAAAAATGTAGCTTTCCTCCATRATGGCAAAAACATAATTGGGACCAACAACACACATGAAAAACATAAACAAGGAAGTTAACAAAGCTCACTCCAGGCTAAATAACTTACAAACGCATGAAAGGCCATTGAAGCTGAAAAGTACAAGTAAGACGACTTRTTGTTAGTACACTTAGAAAAGAAAACAGCATGCCTCGGAACTTTTGGAAACTCAGTAGATACACATAGCGAAAAATGGGTGAGCATATGAGGTAACAGACGAAAACGGCCAGCAACCCCATATCAACAGCGTAGACAAGCACACCGCACAACGGTACAGACGACGCACACCTTTGGGATTTGGTGCTACTGAGCCTTTCTGTATACAACAACCTGTAGAGCACTCACCTGCATATTCAGTGCCCTGTAGACTTTTTCTTCTCATTTCCATTACTTTTACGTCTTACTTTGTTGCACATAAGACACATTCAGTTTTCTTGCAGCCAATTTGGAGCTACTTTCTCATTTCTTATTTCACTTTTACAATAACACTGCTACCGCTTGCGGTTTACCTCAGTATGTATCTGACCTTTTCTGGGTTCACAATGAGAAAGAAACATTTGCCCCCCTACCTTTTGGCGATCTGAGCCTGTCTGGATGGGGTTGTCTACTTACAACTTCATTTTGGTTTGAATGTGTCCCTGAGGAGCGAGCAGCCGATGGCAAAATAGTGTCCAACAAACAAGTGAATGCAATTACGCATTTTGGGCATATACAGATGGGGTGCATATTCTATTGGTGGGGCTTTGGAGCTACACAAGCTCCACTGCCTTCTAGTCGTAAATTCAAAGGCACTTTGCCCCAGCACACGCTTCCTTATTGCTCGGTGCTTGCTTTTCGTGCTCTTTAATTGTCTTATCGCTGCATTTGTGGCAAGTTCTTGTTTAGCGAGTTATTGCCCCGTGGTGCTATTCGCGTTTTCTTTTAATTTAATTCATTCGGGGCGGTAAACTGAAAAATATTATTAACTTGAATTATTTATTCTATTGTTGTTAACAAATTTTTCAGCATTATGCCGAATATTTTGTTATTGTGTTAATTTAAGCGGCAGGCGCGCAAAAGAGCAATAAAAAGAACACTAAAAAATTTGTTTTCTGCGCGAAAATTGAATTAAATTACCTATTCAAACAAACGGCACAAGGAGTGTGAGCTAGGCACATACATCTACACGGTTATGCCTACGTATTTCGTTACCTTTAAACTTATTTTTTATGGAAACTGCTGYCAGTTTCTTTTTATAGAAACCTTCGGTCAGCTAAGTTCTGGTTAACCTTACCGAAAGAAAGAGTTTTGGTTAAGTTAACCAGAACACACAGTTGGATGATGGCTAACCAGACATTGAGAAAGCTACCTTAAGTAAGTAAGTTCAAACCACAACTGAAACATAAGTAAACTAACTACTAAATTGATTAGATTTAAAAYTAATTTTATATTTTAAATAAACACATAAGTAGACTAACTACTAAATTAACTAGATGCAAAATTATTATTATATTTTTTTGTGAATTGTTAATTAGAAGCAAAAGTAAATTTAAAAAATAAAAAACAATTTTCCCATACCGGGAATCGAACCCGGGCCTTCCGGGTGAGAGCCGGATATCCTAACCACTAGACAATATGGGACTGTTATACTTTCGGACACATATGCTGTACTTATAGTCTAGGTGAAATATTTACTCACCATTGCTATTTTTATACACCACTTTAAACAGTTTTGTGATGTACATTCRAACGCAGATAGAATGCGTATACATATAGTCAACCATATGTGTACATACAAAACAATATGGTTCAAGCGCAAAAATTGAGAAGAAATTAAATGTTCAGCTACGTCAATGCTTCTGGCTCTAAATCGATACCAAATTAATCGATATTCGCTTTAAAAGTTGAAATCAATAAAATATTATTCTCAACTCTTGATTCATTTAGCACAAAAAAAATATTACGCGAGGTATACGAGAGTGTTTCTCAGCTTACTTACTCATTACAGTACGGATCTATTCATAAATCTGTTAGCCATAAGTTTCGGCATTCACTGAAAAAAGAGTCATTACTAAATGTATAGTAAAAATATTGACGCCATTGGAAGGTATTATGAAGTAAGTTGCCTAAAAGACAGGCGCTACATGTCAGGTTAGGATAAGATGGTAGGCCACACATAGATCAATTTTGGTTTCTAGCGATATCAGATGGAGTTCATCSTTAAGGATTTCCACATTTCCACAAGCTTTCATATAAATTTTATGGTTGGAAGACTTTAAATAATTCATTCACATTTCGTTGAACTTCCCAATGAAATGCCACAACTAAAAATATTTAATAAATTGGCACTGACTTTTTACACTTGCGCTATCCGTTTATTCGATATTAGTTTTTGAACTAACAACAAAAGCTCTCTGCAAGCATAAATCAGAAACTGACAGTTAAATTAGCTTATAGTTTAGTTAATTGACAAACAAAAGCATCCGTAATTGACAAATTACGGAAAATTGCTCAGTGAAATTCTGCCGTAATTATAAAATTTATTAAAAAAAATTCAGTTAACTGAATAATTTTAGCGCACAGATGGCACAATTAGTGCGAAAATCACTCGTGTTGAATTAAAAATTGTGCGTTTATATGTATGTACGCAAATGTGTTAAACAGACCATGAATTTGATAATAAATAAAAAGTGGCAGGCATTTTCATTGTCCGAGTATAAATTTAACGGCATTATTCAGAAAATTCAGTTACATGTCTGACCTCATTAGAATATCACACAAAGCTGCTCGACACCTTTTTTCAATCACAATGCAAAAATTCTACATTTTGACAATAGTGGCGGCCTTAGTCACACTAGCAGTGGTAAGTTCAAGAATAAATAAATATACCAATAGATATGAAAATAAGTCAAACTTTTTGTGGCAGTGTCAATTGCCAGCGGATTTAGAGAAATTCCAAAAGGCTTGCTTGGACGAAGCGAAAGTCACGGATGAGCAGATGAGGCAATTCTTTCAAAATGGCGCGAAAGCTAGCGATGCCACAGAGAATATAAAGTGTTTAATGAAATGTATGATGCAAAAGCAGGGTATATGGAAGGATGGCGTCTTTGATGCTGATGCCAAAATTAAGGAATTGGTACAACATCCAAAATTCAAAGGAAAGGAAGCAGACCTAACAAAAGCTTTAAATGATTGCAAGAATGAGAAAGGCGCAAATGAATGTGATACAGTCTTTAAGATTAACATGTGTATCAAGGAATTCATGACACAGAATAATCTCTAAGATTCACGTGTAAYGTGCTTTGTTTATTTTCTCTGCTCTGGATTGTTGGTCAATAATTTTAAGTAACTTTGGTATAATTATTTGTAAATATTTCAATGTTTTCGACGTTTACATGTTTTGGTTTTTGGGTATAAGCGATTAAAAAAATGTTAATTATGTAAATAAAATAYTAAGAGTTTTCAAAATATTATGTCCTATCATACTTAGTAGTGAGTATCCTGCATAATTCATGCAGAAGTCAGACTGAAAATATTATACACATTTACAGTTACCAGCTTTTTTAGGTATTTAAGGGGGTTGGTTACTTAAGGGGTWACATGGCTTCCTCGGGRAAAAACAGCCTTTTCCAACAATTCTTATCATGTGGCAAACATACACCACCAATAAAGAAATTCTGAAAATAATATTTTAAAGTCGGCCATTGCGACRCCTYTCCGGAGRATMCTCGAAAAAAGATTCGACCGCGTTAAAATGATAACGCCTTACAGAATCATATAAAGTGAAAAATACGTCACTTTTAGATAAAACTATAACTCAGAACTTGAATGAAGGAAAAAAATATTAAAAATTGGATTTTTGACAGATATTTTTACAAAAAAAAATTAATAACAATTTTTTTCTATTGTAATCGAAACAAGCAAAAACRTTAACTTCGGCTGAACCGAAGCTAATATACCCTTCCATAGGTGCATTTCTTTTAGTAACTATGTGTCCAATTTSTATGGAAGCTATGTGCTATAGTAATCCGCTTTGAACAATTTTGTCGGAAATTATGTTATTACCCTAATCAKTATTCCACGTCAAATTTCGTGAATRTATCTTGCCAAATACAAAAGTTTTCTATACAAGAACTTGATTCCGATTATTCAGTTTGWATAGCAGATATATGCTATAGTAAGCCGATCTGAACAATTTCTTCGTATATTAATTATTATCTTCGAAAATTAACCTGCGCCAACATTTTGTGAAGATACATTGKTAAATGTGAAAATTTTCCATACAAGAACTTGATTCCGATGGTTCAGTTTGTATGGCAAAAATACTTTTGTATGCTGTATTTAACCGATTTGAACAATTCCTTCGGAGATTACATTGTAGAAAAAAAAGAAAACAGTMTATACAAATTTCGTGAATATGTCAAATGYAAAARTTTTCCATACCAGCACTAGTTCCGATTAAARTTAACCTTAAAATTAGGTCTTTCGGTCAAAGTACTACAAACATCAAACTTATAAATGACTTCACAGCCAACTAATGCTATTATTAATTTCTAATAAATTAAAGCAAATTTTTAAGAATAATATGAACACAAACGTTTGTTTCTACCATAATATTGCCATTTATCAATTTAAAAGCGTTTTTTGCGGACCACTCAGAAGTCGTTTTATCCGTTGTAACCGAGCGATCATCGAAGAAACAACATTTCTAATTTGCCATAAGACAGAATTGGAAATGAAGTTCATAAACCTCACGCTGTCAGATAAWACGATATACCTCCTCATCGCGGGTGCCAATACTTTCGATTTGCAAAGAAAGTAAATGAAGACTGACTACAGAAATGATCCTGTGAAGTATAGTCTTAACATTCCAACGATCAGCATACAGTATTTCAACAAAAATACAGACAAAGCGGCTGAGAAGTAAAACGCTAAGAAAATTTACAAAAGCAACGATCGATCAACGATACRATAGTATTTTTGAGTCAAAAAGCAACTAACAAAATAACAGCTGCCGTTGTAAAGAGAATCTACATAGAGTTCTCCTAACTATGAGATACTCAACCCTCACTAGCGCGCTACTAAGAGCATACCGAGTGAGTAGGTAGTGATAATAGATAGAAATAACAACAATGCCGTATAAAGAGAATTATCATGACATACTTATACCGACATTCATATGTACCTACATTTATAAAGGCCAAGATATTTTTGAAATTTATGTGTTACGATTTTTTATATGTTTTGCCTCTACATCATCATAATATTACTGTATTATTACTGTATTATTGCATGATAATTTATGAAGATTTTTTTTGCTTTTGGATTAATATTTCTTCAAAGGTTACTCGACGAATTGTCACTTAATATAATCACKTGCATTAGCCCATTTCCACCAAATCATTACACAAATACATACCTACAATAAATTATTGTTGGTGTATGTATACTCTATGACATGCATACATGCAGTTTCCGTATTCCCCCCTTTTAATGCTTCCCATTCTGTTTATATTTCCACATTGTTTGTTGGCTAAGTGGAAAATTGGTAATAATATCATCTCMTTCCACGCTGCTAATAACGAAAAAAGCTGAAAATAATACATTCTACAAGCTAAACTAAAAAAAAACAGGATAATGAAATCAATTACCATTTTCCAGACTTATAAATATGTATTTACCTCACAGACAAATATCTATTCTGAAGTTAACTAGTTACTAACGACTGTTTAACTGGAATCAACTAGTTGCTCTAACTAGTCAAGTATATATTTTCCATAGWAGAAATCGGTTTTATATGTATTGATGAAACGAAAATGTCAGTAGTTAGAATTGGGTTGGTATGTAATCAACTAGTTACCTAACTACTTAGTCAACGATATTTTTTCCGTAGTAGAAACTGGGTTTTTGTATGAATTGATGAAAACCAAWATGTCTGTAGTAGTAATAGTCGAATTTGGTTATAAATATAACAGTTTCGTAGTAGTTTCAAAAAAGTTCTGTTCGAGTTCGAAAATGTGTTTCATAATAATTGTTTAACTCAACTAAAAAACAACTTCAATTTAAATATTATTAAGCTTCACTGAGCTTTTATTGTAAAAACACTGGTTCCCAATGTAACTTATCTCTTTTTTCAATCCAACTTACTCAAAATTGGATTTTCGGTCATAGATTTCATTCTAGTCAAAAACTAGTTTTTTTCGGTCTAGTTTATATTTTTATAAAAGGTATGTACACATGTACAATATATGCGACGTATACCTATTAGTACACTTATGTAAGCATGTAAAACCAGTTTGTAGGTCATCCGCTTATTCCAGGAATGAAGGCATTTGAAAGGTGATTAAACTAGAACAACAATGTTTTTGTTGTTTTTTGCACGTGCATTTAGTTCATTAAAGCATTGACCGCAAGCAGTTAACAGCTGGACGAAAAKACCGACAGTAGGAAGGCAAAATTTSGATTTCGGGTTTATTGCATACAGACAAAAAAAATTTAAGGCGTGGAGACGAGAATTCGGGATAAAGTATCAAACATAGCATACATAGTACATACTTAGAACACCATGAGGATATTATCAACTAGGATGCAATTTTAATTAAAAAATGTTAAAAATTAGCTTACATCTTTTAAAGAAGTGCTGTGTACCATATCTAAAAAGCTACCAATTAATTACATCTCTTTGAATACTAGAAGACTATTTTGGAACTAGTTCTCACACGTTTTATATACTTTATTCAGTGTTAAATTTTCGTCGTTGCTTCTCAGATTCAAGCGTTCACAGTAGCACCAGCTGCCACACCTCTATTTCCAGCTGGTTGCACGGGTTAGGTTGCGGTCATCGATGGCTTGCTTTAATGGCAAATGTGCATGCAACGTCGATAACTGCACATTTCTACATATATGTATATACATATACTTTATATGTAGAAGTATATAATTTTTATTGAAAGTGCTTCAGTTATTGTTTGCTCTTCCTTGGCTGACTTGTGAAAGAGTTGCAGCAGTCAGCGATGTTTGCTCACCCATAGCGAGGCAGCTCTAAATGCACGTGTAATCATATGAATTGGTCACGTGATTGTTGGATAGCGAATTTATGTACGTATGTACAAAGTGGTAACCCAGTAAAGCTTAGGGACAAGATTTTTGATAAATTTTTATTTGTACTTATATAAGTATTTCAAGCYTACTGTAATAATAATCTGACTTAATCTACGTTTTGACACATTTTCCAGTGCATACTATATAAATACTTATGTAAACAAGTGTATTTTTAATTTATTTACAATATGTTGTCTATTTCACATTTTCCAATATATATTGATTTTCATTGGTTTTAAATGCTTAATTTTATAGTTGATAAAAGTTAATTAGTTAGTTAAAAATATAAATTGATTTATTTTATTTAAGAACTTTAATTTTAATTGT